CCACCCACCCCGCCCCGCCCCGCCCTCGCACGGGGGTGCGCAAGAAACGCCGGCGTGGTCTAGCACCGGCTGCCGCAACGCGAGAGCGGGACCCGGACGCATGGTGTGTCAAACGGTCGAAGGCCGAATTGCCAACGGAGAAATAGTGTCTATTGGTGCCCACGGATGGCCCGAGTACGTGGGGGTTCATTTTTTTCGACTCAGGTGGAGGAGGAGATGAGGTGCTCGGCGTCCAGGGCGGCCATGCAGCCGGTGCCGGCGGCCGTAATCGCCTGGCGGTAGCTGCGAGGACGAAATGGAGGTCAAAGGCAATGCGTGGAAGCCCCCCAACGGTGCGAGTGCCGTGTGTGCACCGTGTTGTTAGCATGCATATGAAAAAAAAAAAAGCCACGGTGGAAGGCGGGCGTTGAGGCGAAATACGCACCGCTTGTCAACAACATCGCCACAGGCAAAGACCCCCTCGACGTTGGTGGCGGTGCTGACGCCAGGCTCGGCGAGAGTCACGTAGCCATCCTGGTCCAGGTTAATCTGACCACCGAGGAACTTGGTGTTCGGGTCGTGGCCGATGGCGTAGAAGAGGCCGGCCACGTCCAGCTGGCGAACCTCGCCCTGGGTGTCGACCATGACGTGGGTCAACCGCTTGTCGTCACCATGGGCCGACACGGGCTTGGTGTTCCAGACAACCTCGACCTGTGGTCGCATGTGCAGGTGCATGGATGGCATGCACGGGCGGCGCATGTTCTCCGGGGGTCAGAGGCCCGAGGAAGGGAGGGCAGGGCGAAAGGCCGCCAAAGGGGAGCAAGGCATCACACGCTCGAACGGAGCGCACCTTGGGATTGCGCAGAACGCGCTCCTGCATGACGGCCGATGCGCGCATCTTGTCACGGCGAACCAGCATATACACCTTCTCCGCATACTTGGACAGGAAGTTGGCCTCCTCGCAGGCGGAGTCACCGCCGCCCACCACGGCCAGGACCTTCTTGCGGAACATCGGCAGGGCGCCATCACAAACCGCGCACGCGGAGATGCCCTTCTGCCAGTACTCCTCCTCGCCGGGGAGGTTCATCCGCCGGGCCGTGGCCCCGGTGGCGATGATCAGCGTGTCGGCCAGCAGAGCCGGCTCGGCGTCCGGGCCATCGGCCCCCTCGGTAAACAGGGCGAAGGGCCGCTTGCTCAGGTCCACGCGGCTGACAGTCTCACTGCCTTGCCGGCATTGGCCAATGCCAGGGGGGCAAGCACAAGCGAAGGGTGAGACACAAGAATGGAAAGGGCTCAGAGAAGGGAGGTCAAAGGGTGTGTGTGTGTGTGTGTGTGTGTGTGTGTCAAATCGCACGTCACGATCTTGGTGCCGAAACGCTCGGACTGCTGGCGCATCATGTGCATCAGCTCAAAGCCATTGACCCCCTGGGGGAAGCCGGGGAAGTTCTCCACATCGGTGGTGGTGGTGAGCTGGCCGCCTGAACGTGGGCGAGTGGGTGAGTGAGCAGGGAGAGAGAGAGAGAGAGAGAGCAAGCGACAGGGCTCCAAGAGGTTAAAGAGGCATGACAGCGGGACAGACGGCAAGCCTGGCCACCAAATGCGTACCGGCCGAAACACCGCCCGCCATGAAGCCCTCGTACATGACCGGCTCCAGGTTGGCGCGCGCGGTGTAGATGGCCGCCGTATGGGCGCTGGGGCCACTGCCGATGATGGCCACCTTGGACGCCTGGGCAGAGTAGAAGGCCCGGCCAAGAGACGGGCGCACCGAGCGGCTGGCAATCGAAAGAGCAGAGAGCATTGTGTTTGAGCAGATGCGTGAGGGGGGGGGGGGGGGCGGGGGGGACGGAGGAAAGGGGGATTCCCCACGGCAGAGGAGGGGCTTCTCAGTGTGCCCCCTCTCACCTGTGGCTCCCCCCGGGCGTTGCCCCGTCCCACACCCGGGTGTGCCTGGGGGGGAACGGAGGGAAGAAAGAAAAGGGCGAGAGGTGCAGTCGGGATGGACGGAGTGAGTGGTCATGCAAGTCGATGTGGGACGGTAGGCTGGGGCCTGAAATGGCCGGCGGACGATCTGGACATCATCTCCCTCCTTGGCGCGGGGGGATCTCCCGGAAGGGAGGCCTCCGGATGCCGGACTAACGTAAGCCGCCCACGCCAACGTGAGGACCTGCCGGGGTCCGGAGGAAAGGGGGATTCCCCACGGCAGAGGAGGGGCTTCTCAGTGTGCCCCCTCTCACCTGTGGCTCCCCCCGGGCGTTGCCCCGTCCCACACCCGGGTGTGCCTCTCTCCCCCTGCGGGCGTGCGGCCGGCGGAGGACGGCCGTGCGCTGGCGTTCGAGCGATCGGGACTCTGGCCGTCAGATGACCGCACATTGGGCTGGTGATCCCCTGCGGGCCCGGCCCTCCGGCGGGGGAGACCTGGGAGCTGCCAGTGGATCTGGGTCACTGGGCCGGGACCTCCACCTTGTTCTGGATGTTTGTCGGGAGTGGCGCCGCCCTGTGTTTCCGTCACCCCGACGAAACCTGGGCCTCTCTACCCCGGTTCCCTGCACGTTGCTTGGTTGGCTGGGCCTCCATGGTCGGTCCCCCGGCCGGAGAGTGAGAGAGATGAAAAAAAAAAAAAAAAAAAAAGAAGGGTCAGAGCCAGGAAGATGGCCAGACCCCGGGGAGGAGCCTCTCGGTGGCGGAGAAGGAAGCCTTCACCCGAGGGAAAGAGTCAACCCTTGCGCAGGGGGGGAGGGCATGTAGGGTAGACGCCAGTGGGCATCGACGGATGGCGTTCGATTAACTCATCAGTTTAGGAAAGGGCGCGTGATGTGATCCATGGATGTTCTTGATCCGGCGATGTTGCCTTGCAGCGCCCCAGCCAGGCTGGGCTCGCCCCACCATGCGCATTCCCCGGGAGGGTTCCCCAGGTGTCCCTCAGCCTGGCCAGTGGGGCGCCCGCCCCAGTAACAGAAGGAGCGCAGTGCCAACTTCCTGTGCCCCGTCCTGGTCGGCTCGCATCCTCAAGACTCCCGTGGTAAAAGCACCTGCTGGCAGGCCGGCCGGCCGGCCGGCCAGCGGCCCGCCTTCCTCCCTTCTCGCCGCCCCTGGCGAGGGCTCATCCGGAGGTATGAACTGGAAGATGCCACAGGCTGCTACCCCGGCCGTGGGGGGGATTCTTTTTCGCCCCCCCCCCCTGGACCGGCGTGTCTTGCCCCGCCCGAGGAGACCCCTTCCCGTGTGCGTGAAGAGCCAGTTCCATTCCGGCGAGACTCCTCCGGCACCTTGCAAGGGCAAGCAGCACCCTTCGGGGGGGATTGGCCGAGGGGATTCTTCCACTTCCCGCCCAAGTCGCCGGCCAGCCCCCGTGGGCACAGCCCGGCTGCGGAGCGGCCACTTCAGAGGGAGGCGGATTCTTCTCACGCATAAGCCTCTCCTCCTCGCCCCTGAACTGTCCCCCGCCCCCCGCCTCCCCCCCTCCGGCACGCGGACAGAGAGACGCCCAGTCAACTGGCATGTGCGCCGTGAGATGCGACACCGCGATCCGCAGACGCGTCCGGCATTTTGACTTCGGGGGCCGGCGGAATTCGGGCCTCCCGGCTGGTCAACATCTGCGTGCATTCCCGTGCCCCATCCAGAGTGGTATGAGGGGGCGTGGAAGGCCCAAGATTAAGGAGCAGCGAGCGGAGGGCAGGGGAGAAACCCATGAGAGGGGCTTTCGGCCCTGCTGGATTTCCCCATCGTATTTCCCCTGATCCCCGCGTCTCCCCGTGTTGCCCTTGCCCACCCCCCCGGGGTGCAGCGGAATGCGCCCAGCGTGGTGATCCGGGCGCGCGGCGCCAGCCGAAGATCTCCCACTTGCAAGAGATTGACATGCGTGAGAGTGCAAGGGGCCTGTTCGTCCGGGAGGGTGGGCCATCCATCACTGTTGCGCACCCTAGCGCAGGGGGGCTTGTGTGCGTGTGTGTGTGTGTCTCTCTCTCTCTCTCTCTCTCTCTGCCTATGCTGGCGCCGGTGCCAGTGCGTCCATCTCGACATTGATGCAAGTCCCAGACCTGCGAGGGTGGTCCGCAAGACGTGTCGCACGCGACCTTCCAGCGGCTCCCTCGACGCAGCCCCTCAAAGGGGACCCCGCCGCCCACAGCCACCGCAGTGTCCTGGACACCCTTTCATTCACCAGCGCGCCAGTGCTCCGTCCCTCGTTTTCCGCCCTGCTCGCTTGCCCCTGCCGCCGCACATAGCGCTGCCCGATACACACCCTTTGCCACCATGGCCAGCCCGCTCTTCGCCTCCTCCAGGATGACCATCCTCCTCTTGTCGGTCCTGGAGATCGTGCGTCCTCCCTGCTTGTCTGCCCCTGTCTCCCGGTGAGCGGCTCCTTGCTAACTGCCTCTGGCCCCTTGTGATCGTCTCTCCGCCCCTTTTGCTCTTCTCCTTCCCCCCCCCTCCCCAGATCTATCTCATCATGATCGCCGTCGCTGCCGGTATGGAGAAGCTCAACACCCTGACTGCTCTTGCCAGTGTGTTCGCCGCTCTTGTCATCATCATCTTCATCTTCGTGACGCGCCTCAATCTCAAGCTCATTGTGGTGGTGCGCTTCCCTTCTCCCTCCTGCTCCCCTTGCAATCTGCCCTCTGCCCCCGGCCGGGCCTGACATCCCCCCCCCCCCCACCCACACACCCTCCTTCCCTGCTGCCCCCTCAGCACCTCCTGATGAATACCGGTCTCTTCATCCTCTCGCTCCTGCTTATCCTCGAGTCCCTTGGTCATATTGAGCTGAGCATTGCCGAGGAAACCTACTACCACATCCCGCTGATGCTGATGTTTGATCTGACCGATGACGAGGTCTGCATCAAGGCCATGTATTCGACCGCCTGTGTCCTGACCGTGCGTCATTCCTTGCCTCTCACCCTCACGCGTAATTCCGGGCACATCCCTTCCCCCCCTCCTGCACGCCACCTGCCCCTCATGGCATTGTCCCTGACACTTACCATGCCTCCTCAACTCCCCCCTCCCCCCCCCCCCCGCTCCCACCATATGCAGGGCCTTCTCGCCCTCTCTGTCGGTGTCTACATGGCTACCTGGCGCAAGGGCCGCCGGAACTTCTGAGCAGCCTGCATCCATGCTTCAAATTGTCCATCCCACACACATCCAACTTCACATGTCCGCGCAGCGTCGCCCAGTTCCCGATGCGCGCTTCTCCTCGCCTTCCAGCGGGGGGCTTTCCGGGCTGTTAATCTTCGCTTTAACACGCACAGAAAAAGAAATACACAACCTTGTTCTTTGTTTGGATCTCCGTGCTTGGCAAAGATTTAGTCTGTGTGTGTGTGTGTGCCCTGGAGAATATATCCGCGGGCGCCGTGTGCCGGATTGGACGACGCGAGCGTTCAAGGGTGTGTGTGTGTGTGTGTGCGCGTGTGTGCATGTGTGTACGTGTGTGTGCGTGTGTGTGCGCTGGAAATTGCTTGGTCAGAGGAGAGGGAAGTGTACTCAGAGCACTGGCCATCAGATCTCCGAATATGCTGGTATATCAGAATATCGCCACGAGGTCACGCCCGATGACCATATGATTCTCCTTCACTCAGTCTGTCATGCCTCGTTGTTCCCTCCCCGACTGGGAGACATAACCCATCAGTTCTCTCTTTCTCTCTCTCGGGACAGGCTGCTTTTTCGGAGAGCTGTGCTGGGGGCTAGGCAGTGCGGGACGGGATTTTTCTACTTTTTGGGCATGCCCCCCCCCC